TTTCATATAATGACTCAACTTTTTCTCAAATCATATTAGAGTCTTTAGGTATGCCTGTCTTATAACAATCCTGTACCTATATAAAAGCTGCATTTTCAATACCAAATAAAAAGTTGTTTCACAAAAAGTACAAGGTGTTCACACTTGTTGACATAGCTACAGTGAAGGCTTCACAAATTTTTTTTTTTTACAATGGTCCTTACATTGGGTTTGTTTACCTTTTTTTTTTTAACACATAAAGATTTTAGCTTATTAATCTGGTCTGAAAAATACACACAATGGCCCATCGTCATTGTATCATCTTCACTCCTTTTGCTGTTATCCAATTTCCAGCTCATTTCTTGCCAACACCACCATTGGCCATTGCAGTTGCCCTGGCTTTCTTCTTTCTGTTCTTGCATTGCTTTTGTTGCTTCCTTGAGGTCTTTTCATTCTCATACAAACCATGTCTTGCAAATCTATTTTGGATTCATTTTTCTTTGTATAATTCAAGGAATCATAAATCATGCCAAAGCCAGTTGTCTTGCCACCACCAAAATGAGTTCTGAAACCAAATATAAAGGTCACATCTGGTATTGTCTTGTACATTTTGACTAGTTTTTCCCAATGTTCTCTCTAAGGTGCTGTTGCCTTCCTGTGGTGAAGGACAACGATGGCCATTTGTTTCCGCTGAAGTAGATGGTTGGTCATGAATTTCGTGGTCTGAATAGTTACTGGGTCATTCATGAGGGTAACTGATCTCAGGCAGAGAAGAAAGAAGCAGGGTTGTTTATCTTGAAGCAGTGAGTAACTGCAGCTGCAGACCTCAGTCTATGGTATATATCAAGTGTGGCTTTTTTTTAATTCCTGGGAGCACTTCCAGCATCACTATTGACACTTCATTATGGGTCCCATGGTGTTAATGAAGATTTATGGACTTGCATGAAACACTATGTAGAATACACAAGAACTGCGAGAGATCACTTTTTTACGGTGATACACAATTTTCTAGAGAAACTAACTGCCTATGCAGAAATGATTAGTGTCACTGGATACTGGCGACATTCAAGCTCACTGATGTCACAGCAATAGCAGCAGAAGGTGGCTACAAAATTTTTGCAGTAGTTCAGTATGTATTACAGTTCATTTTATACAGTTATTTAATATTATGTCTTTATGGCTATTTACATTTCATTCACCTAACCATGGTGCCATGTACGGTCTATAAGTGTTTGTGTGTGGGAGTTATAATGCACTTAAAATTTTAATAACACATTTGTGCATATCTTATGATATTAAATTATAAAATAGACTAGTATCTACATACATTTTATGCATTTATGACACAACTTTTTCTTATTTTTGTCAATATTTTTAAGCTACATAGTTAGTCGGAGAGTTATTTTAAATTGTCACCAATCAGCAGGGCTCAGTGGCTCAGCCTGTAATCCCGGGTCTTGAGAGACTGAGGTGAGTGAATTGTCTGAGCCCAAGGGTTCAAGACCCGCCTGGACAACTTGGTGAGCCCTCATCTCTATAGTAAATAAAAAAATCAGCCAGGCGTGGTAGCGCTTGTGCCTGTAGTTCCAGCCACTTGGAAGGCTGGGGCGGAAGGATAGCCAGAGCCCAGCAGGTCGAGGCTGCGGTGGCCGGGAGCGACCACTGCACTCCAGTCTGGGTGACAGAGTGAGACTCCAACTCAAAATAAATAAGTAAATAAATTGTCACAAATCTCCAAAAAAATTTCCAATATATTCATTGAAGAAGATTCCCACACAAGTGGCCCCACACAATTCAAACCTGTGTTGTTCAAGGGTCAACTGGTAATTTTTATTTATTGATTTGTTTATTTATTTATTTTTGAGTCAGAGTCTCACTCTATTGCCCAGGCTGGAGTGCAGTGGCATACTCCCAGCCACCCCAGCCTCGACCTACTGGGCTCAGGCGATCCTTCCACCTCAGCCTTCCAAGTAGCCAGAACTACAGGCATGGGCTACCACACCCGGCTAATTTTTTGATTTATTGTAGAGATGAGGGCTCACCACGTTTCCTAGGCTGGTCTCGAACCTGCAGGCTCAGCAATTCCTCTGTCCACGGCCTCCCAAAGTGCTGGGATTATAGGCTTGAGCCACCGCACCTGGCCTGGTAATTTATTTTTATTATCAATATTAAATTTGATGAACTTCCACTGCTAATTCTGAATCTGATGTTTTAGAACAACTGTACCATAGACTTGGCAACACTTTTAATGGGCAGTGAAATGTCCAGTGGCATTTTTTCCCCCATTGGTCAGCTCCAAACTGTCTGTTGCCAATTTATCATTGATTCACAGAATGTCAGATTAGAGGAGATCTTAAAGGCTAATTTCTAGTAATGGATGTTGCAGAAATGAGATGTTGCATAAGGCAAACTCTTCCCAGAATAATTCCAGTTAGCAGAGTTTCAAAATGGCTCCTTATGGAGTTCTTAGTTACTTCTCTTTCCACTAAACTGCTTAGATTTCTGCTCATTGCATTTCAGTGAAATTTTCCTTTAGAGTTGTACGAGATCTTGGCAGAGAGTCTAAACACTAGTGGGGCCTCATTATCAAGTAATATGTTGCTAAGTATAAAGCAGAGTAAAACTTAAAACTACCTGGTTTCCTGCCATATGGCATGTTACAGAGGAGGAGTTGAGGATCAAATCTTGCAGTGTTTTTACTTATATACAAAAAAAGCCAGGTGTGGTGGCTCATTCCTGTAATCCCAACATTTTGGGAGGCTGGGGCAGGAGGATCCCTTGAGCCCATGAGTTTGAAGCTATAGTGGAGTTTGAGGCTATAGTGAACCATGATTGCACCACTGCACTCTAGCCTAGGCAAAACAGTGAGACTCAATGTCTTTAAAAAAAAAAAAAGAAAAGAAAAAAATTTCCTGTAAGACTGAGTTGTTAGCTTCTTTTTCAGTGTTAGTGATGGTTTGCACTAACAGACTACTGTTCTTAATAGTTTCTCCTTCCTTTGGCAACTGGGGCATTTGTAATAGGATGAACTAGCATAACTAACAGAGCCTAAGGCCATGAAATAAGACCCATTCTTTGCTCTAGCTATTGATCCTTATCAGGAAGTTTCATTCTTGACCAACAGGGTTTTCTTCATGGAAGCTAATGAGTTAGATCCCAAAGCAGAAAGCAGGGCGTGCTAATCACTAATGAAAGAGGGACTTATTTGATATCATTTATGTTTAGGAAGCACAGTTTTTGAGACTGCACTAACCATGGAACTATAATATAACTGCGAGAGTGATGGACAGTAAGAGTCCACATTCAGACATGTGATCTAACAGATGAATGAGGGTTCAAAATCTTTTATTTTAAACAGAACTAGGCTTTTTCTTTTTAAATACATATGCAACTAAATGAAAGACTATGCCCTTTGAATAAGCTAAATGCTGGCGCAGGGATTGGTTTACAAAGTAGAAAAGTGGTTTACCCGCTTCCTGCCTCATTTTTCAATTTTCTCTCATGTTCAATGCAGTGAATGTTTGTGTGTGCCAACCAGGGCACCCTTGCAGAAGGCAAGCGTGTTAGTGGAAATAAAAAGAAAAAGACAGCATGGAGTTAAAAAAAAAAAAAAATCAATGAGCAATTTTGCCACCCCAAGTAAACAACCTCCAGGTCTCAGGAGACAGTGATTCCTCTTCATTTCATTCAAAATTTGAAGCCCAGAGGCAACATGGCATTCAAAGAGAAACATTTTGTGCTTCCTTTGTAGTCTTAAACAATAACCCTTCTAGAGTCCCAGAGAGAAACCCACAGGGCATGCTTCAAACTTGACCTATAAAGTACTTAGTACTTAGTGCTATGGCCACCTTCCTGTGGATCAGGCAGGCTCTCCCTCCCACCTGACAGCAAATGCCTACAATTCTGAAAGCAAGGAAGATTGACTTTCCCTTATATATGCATTGTGATTTGGATCTTGACTGAAGTCTCCTTATCCCCATCTGAAATTCATCAGCTTCTAGCAGGATGATCCAGCGTTCCTACGTGTAGATGCAGATGAACAGGGTGGCGGTTCATGTGTAGATGCGGATGAACAGGGTGGTGGTTCACTGTAATGCAGAACATGGCTAGCTTTCTGGATCCCATGGTAGGGGAAGGAGGAAGAAGTATGTTTCAAGGGACTGACCAGTAGGGAGGCTACCAAAACTTTAAAGTCTGAACATGGTGCTCATGCTTTTCCACTTACAGATGATAATAATAAATCACATTTACTCTAGAATACTGAGTCTGAACTCTACTTGTCTTTTGTGTCCCACCTCCCTCACATTCCCCTTTCTCAAGTGTCCAGCACAATGCCCGACACATGCTAGGTGCTCAAAATAGATGTGTTAAATCAGTCAAACAAATAAATGAGTAAAATGCAAATGATTTATTTCTTTTGATCTACCTCTTCATCCTTTATATGGTTATTTCGTGGGTTCGGGTACAAGATTAAATGACAGCGCATACCTCATACAACGCGTAAAATGTCATCAGAGGTGCTGGTGGAATTTTAAGTTTGCAGGTATGTTTCAGGTGAAAGAATTATTCCTGAAAACTATAGATGTGATGGGCTAATTAATCTCAAACACATTTAACTAAGGCTCGGGAAGATGATAACGGGATGGGAGGAGGAGAGAGAAAAAGGGGCGAGCTGGTGTACAGCGAATACATTTAAGATCAGCCGAATTATTTCATAACGGGGCTATGTTCTTTTCACCAAAAAATTACCCTGTGCCCCACCCCCACGCCAGAAAGGCAGGGGGGGGGGGGTCTTTCAGGAGAAGCCGGAGAGAAGGGCTCTTTGAGTTCCCTCTTGCTTTCTGCAGTCACAGGGCAAGAAACAGCGAGGAAGGTGACTCGGCCACTTATTTTATCTGAACTTCCTTCTGTGGTCTTTTTTATATTCAAGTCTCTCACTTTTCCAGGGCTGTGCTTGGAAAAGTTGAAAAACTCTCCCCTCCGTGGAGCCAAAGAAGCCCTCCACAGACGCAGTCCCACGAATGAATGAAGTTATTCCCGTGGCCCGGCGTCTCCCTCCCCTTGCATACCAAATATCCACAGAAACGGTTTTCCTGGCTTCCATGGCTGGAAGCGGACTCGCCTGTAGCGCTGCCTGGCATCGGATGCGCCGGTTTCGAAAGTCCGCAGCCGACTTGGCTTTCGAGCCACCGTGGCTGGCTCCGGGGGACGTGGACCAGGCTCGCGGTCCCGCGTGGTCGCTTCTTTCCGGGGCGCAGTGTGCAAAGTAAACAAGAGTCGCGGAAAAGCCTGAAGAATCAACGAAGGGAAAACCTCAGGTTATTTGCTCGGTAACCGACACGCCAGCGACCTCCCTCAAGGAGCCTCGTGGTTTAAGGACGTCTGGAGCGAGGATGAATGAACCTTCGGGGCGCTTCCCTCGCACCCGCCTGTAAATCTCTGGAGTCTTTCGGGGGGTGGCGGGACATTCACAGGAATCCCGCAGGGCGGGGAGAGAAAAAGAGGCAAAGCCGCCCCCTCCGCGCTCTCCTCCCCGCCCTTCGCAGCGACTCGCCCCGGCGGCCCCGACCCCGGAGGTGGCAGCCGGCAGAACCCGGAGGCGCTAGGACCTGCTTGGCGCCTGGCTGCGGCCCCTTTCGGGAGGGCGGGGGAGGGCGGGGAGGAGGGGGAGGTGGGAAAGGAGGGGTG